ATTGAGGAATCAACCAGCCCTTGGAATTCTCCTGTATTTGTGATCAAAAAGAAATCTGGTAAATGGAGAATGCTTACAGACCAGAGAGCTGTCAATAAAGTTATCCAGCCAATGGGCTCTCTACAGCCTGGAATGCCCTTGCCTTCTTTGATAACCAAAGAATGGCCTGTTATAGTTATTGATTTATAGGATTGCTTCTTCACTATACCTTCACATTAACAAGATAAAGAGAAATTTGCCTTCACAGTACCTAATTACAATAATTCTCAACCGGTGAAGAGATATCAATGGAAGGTTTTGCCACAGGGAATGCTAAATATCCCCACCCTGTGCCAATATTTCATACAAAAACCACTAGAAATAATTCATAAACAGTTTCCACAATCCATAATCTATCATTACATGGATGATATATTGTTAGCTGACTCTAAAGGAGAAATATTAGAAAAAAATGTTTGAGAAAGTAAAGGAAGTTTTACCTCGCTGGGGATTACAAATTGCACCTGAAAAAATACAAAAAGGAGAGTCTATCAACTACTTAGGATATAAAATAGGTCTACAGAAAATTAGACCACAAAAAGTACAGATCAGAAGAGATTGCTACCAGACTCTTAATGATCTTCAAAAATTACAAGGAGAGATAGACGGTCATGATTTGAAAAACTTGAAAATGGCCCTAAAAGGAGATAAGGACTTGAATAGTACATGAATACTATCAGCTGAAGCTAAGAAGGAATTAGAATTAGAAAAGAGGATACTAGAAGCACATGTGGACTGTGTGGATCCAAACCTAGACTGTATTCTGGTTATATTACCATCTAGAGAATATCCTTCAGGGATTTTGATGCAGAGAGAAGATATCATATTATAATGGATATTCCTACCACATAAACAGAATAAAAAACTAAAAACATATATAGAAAAGATCTCTGACTTGATTATAAAAGGTAAATTAAGACTTCGTCTGATAACAGGAAGGGACCCAGCAGAAACTATAGTACCTTTAACTAATGAAATTTCCTCCTTATGGAAAGGTAATGAATATTGGCAGAGAGCTTGCAGTAACTTTTTGGTAACAATTAGCAACAACTATCCCAAAACTGAGAGAATCAAATTCATAAAGAAAACGATTTGGATCCTTCCACGCATTGTAAGAAAAATACCTATTTCTGGAGTTCATACATTCTACACTGATGCAAATGAATCAGGTAAGGCAGGATATAAATCAGGAAAAATTAGCAAAGTGGTTCAAAGCCCTTACAATTCTGTACAAAAGGCAGAATTGTATGCCATTCTCATGGTACTTATGGATTTTACAGATCCCCTCAATATAGTTACTGACTCTCAATACACAGAGAGAGTCGTTTTACACATTGAGACTGCAGAATTTATTCCTGAAAATACAGAATTAACTTCATTGTTTATACAGTTACAAGATACGATCAGAAAGAGGACTCATCCTATATATATAACACACATCAGATCCCATACGGGTCTGCGAGGTCCTCTAGCACAAGGCAATGATGAAATTGATCGTTTATTGATAGGAAGTGTGCTAGAAGCCTCAGAGTTTCATAAGAAACACCACGTGAACAGCAAACGTTTAAAAAATGATTTTTCTATCACTTGGGAACAAGCCAAGGAAATAGTAAGGAAATGTCCTACTTGCTCATTCTATAACCAAACTCCTTTACCACCAGGCAGTAACCCTAAAGGTATAAATAGGAATGAATTATGGCAAATGGATGTGTTTCATTTTGCAGAATTTGGAAAATTAAAATATGTACATCACACTATAGATATATTTTCAGGGTTTCAATGGGCTACTGCTCTGAGCTCTGAAAAGGCTGATTCTGTTATCACACACCTGTTAGAGGTAATGGCCATTATGTGCATACCTGCACAAATAAAAACTGACAATGCTCCAGCATATGTCTCCAGCAAATTGAAACAGTTTTTTGAGTATTATAACATAAAGCACATAACTGGTATACCACACAATCCTACAGGACAAGCAGTGGTTGAGAGATCCAATCATACTTTAAAAGAAATGCTCCATAAACAGGCAGGAGGAACCAAGACACCCAAACACAGATTACATAATGCTTTATTAACATTAAACTTTCTTAATGCTGATGAAAAAGGAAAAACAGCTGCAGAAAGACACTGGACAATAGAAAAAACTTCTGAACTAAATCAGCCAGTGTAGTTCAAGGATGTATTGACCTCAGAATGGAAAGCAGGATATGTGTTCCGTTGGGGTAGGGGTTTTGCATTTGTACCTACAGGAGAAGAAAAACTATGGATACCATCTAAGTTAATCAAGATCCGAGTTGAATAAGAGAAACATCTTAATGAAGAGAAATGACAAGACATCCAACAAATTAGGTCCCATGAGGTGTGCTGAGACCTCTCAAAGGTAGGGGAATTGTTCTGTTCTTGTTCTTACAGAAAAACAGAGAAAACCTATCATCAAACAGCCAAAAGACACTGAAATTGTAGGTACCTACAGAAGAGAAGACAGCTCTTCAGAAACAATCACTTAATGAAGCAGAATCTGATATATAGTAAAAATATTTAATCGTAGTAAACTATTTCTATACAGAAATCTATTTCTCTCTACTATCTAGTATTCCTGAAGTCCCAATTCATGTAAACCAATGCTGGCTCTGGAGATGGATTTGGCTTTCCTTCTCTAAATGCAAGCATGTTGTTAAGATTAAATTCATGGTTTCTGCCTTAAATCAAGAAGCCAATTGGTGTAAGGCACAAGAAAACAAAATTGGGGACTCATTTCTTATACGCAATTTTCTCTCTGAAATACTAATTTTCTCACACACGTTTTAATGCTTAGTTTTGTCTTTCCCTAATGCATACCTTAAAACTTGAAAATTTTACTTTAATATTGATGTGTAAATTTTCCACAAGGAATAATAACAATTCCTAACAGCAGTTTTTGAACTCTCCAGAAAGAAGATGGGGCTCCACATCATTGTTTCCACTTGACTCAACCTGATGCATCTGAACTATAACTTCACCCTAAAACCGGTTTGAGACTGTTTTGCTCGAGACAACTTATGACTAGGTAGCTGTAATGATGCACCTTCTTATTACATGCTGGCCAGAGTTGCAAATAGAACTACAGTCAAGCATTTTCTGCCACACAGTGACTAGCTACATATGTCACAGCCAGTTCTGTTGAGAAATTTGGTTGCTAAAAATTTTCTTCCTACAGGATCCATTGGAGCAATCATCATCCCATTTCAACAGGAAGTAACCTTAAGATAACGACGCCCCCTTTCCCTACCCTTGGAATTTTGGGATAATAGTCATCTTCTTTGGCTTGGTTTTAGTTATTTAGGGTTGGGTATGGAAGGTGATGCTTACACTCAGGTTTATCTTTTAGACAGGAATAGGGAATGGTTGGGAAAGGTATGGTTTAGATGGGATATAGGTAGATTAGCCTATTTTCTTGTGATTTTGAGTAAGAATGAGATAGTATTTTACAGCTTACATTGTTATATATTCTTATATTTGGTAAGCTATGTAAAATTAAGTTTATATTTTGTTATATTGTGTGAAATCTTTCCACTTATGATGTTTATTGCACATTATTTTTACCATATTTTGTGTATGTATACTTTTCTTGTATCAAGACATTTTATATATTGATACAATTTGGGGTATTTATCATGCTGCCCTTTATAGTTCTACCTCTTGGATTGACATTTCTACTCTACCTCTATTTTAGGGATTTATATGTATGTATATGTATATAGTTATATTAAGTATTTGTTCCTGCTTTACTCAGGGAAGTTTTAAACAGTTTTTTTTAGCTAAGTTCATGAATATTACAGATTATCTTCACTCATGTTTCCTGTACCTATGAGATTAGTCAGATATAGATGCTTAATCTTCAATCACTTCATAGACATGCAGAACATGGCATTTAAATGTTTTTATATTAGTACTCCATTGACATGAGACACTGTTGCTCCTGACAGCACCATGCACTTTCCCAAAAATATGTTGGACATTGTTGTTGCTCCTGCTGGAGTTCATTCTCGCCTCAGCTAATGGCCTGTTGGGCAAATAATTGCCCCCACCTTGACCACTGATTTGGACATGCAGTCCTATGTGCTTGCAAGAGACAAATATAGAAGACTGCTGGACCTTGCCAAGTCAGGGTAAGACAGCCATTCTACCTCCCTGATGTTGTTGTGGTCTGTCAAGTTCTCTTGGCCTTAGCCAAACCTGGGTGTACCAACGTTGCTGTGAGACCTAGGGTGACTGTCCAGGTGGCTTGCTGTTTCTGTCCTTGCTGCACCTTTTGGAAGTTGTCCATCCTCTCTTCCTGTCTACTCTAGTATCGTTATTTTCCTTCTCAGGTCTTGATGAGCTTGAAGATTAAACTATCACAACTATTATTCTCTCTTCCTAGTTAGATATATTAGGTACTAGACTTACGTTTTCCAGCTTAGGACAACTCTATTGTAAACTCTGTTATGCCTTCACCCTAGGACTAGATATGTAGGTCATTTTGTTCTCGATTTTCCTTTTCTTAGAGCACACTTGTTACTCATTGTTTTGTATATAGTTTTGTATTAAGCCTAAATCTTTTCTTTAGACTAAAAGGGGAATTGTAGTGAGATAGTCCTTCTGTGGCACTGACCTCACCCATTGGGGGGTGGATCCATGGGCGGAAGTGACCTGTGGAAGGAGTTCTGAGGAGGACCCGGGGAATGCTGTCTTGCTGGTGGGACTTGGACAGGAGAACATCTGGTGGAACTTGCTGGTGTTCATCTGTCTAGGTTGTATGTTATTTCTCCCTGAATAAACATCTATTCGGCCTATTTGTTTATCCTGATCCTTATATAACAGCAATAAGTTGGAGAGGCTTATTTCTCTTCTACAAAAACACGCTCGATTCCTTGAGCAATTGCTGCCCTTCTGGTCCTCCAGTATGCATGGGCTTATTCATAGGCTACAGTTCATCTTACCTTGGCGACTTTGACAGCAGAGCCATAGCCGGTTGAGAACCCACAGCCGATGAGGCAGACTTTCTCGAGTGGTGAAGCTCCGTCGATTTTAGCTACTGCTATCTCATCTACCACAGTGTACTGCGAGAACGTGCTGGTACTAACGAAGTTGTGGATTGGCTTTCCTCTGCAGGTGAACCTGGTGGTGCCGTCCAGCATGGTCCCCCTTAGCTGTACCAAACTGGCCAGAGAAACACAGGAAAAAAAAAGACATGAGACAGGATGAAAGCAGTGGGCAGCCTAATGGTGCAAGAGGACATTAGAAACCTACTCGCTTTTTGCACACAAGTTGCTTTCCGGGTGCTTGCAAACCCTGCATTTCCCGCACTGGGGAGAGAAGAGTGGGATGACTTTATCACCTGCAGGGAAACAACAAAACGACTTCAGTGTCTGTCCAGGAAATAATGAAGCAAGCACATGAGACCCACACGTAGAGACGCGTGTCTTTGAAAAGTCACCTAGTGATAGGACATGACCGCACTATAACTCATGGGTCGTTACCTCCCAGCCTTGCTATTCATCCAGGTTTGTATGTGCCTGAAGATCTCCAAAGAGAAAGAGGAGATGTCCATCAAAAGCAGTTAACCTTGTTGTGTGCCTCAGTTTCTCTTGGGGACTTTCACATATTAGTCTAATCAAATCTTGTATATTCTCACTGCTAAGTTTAAATATATGCCTTAGTGTTAGCATAGGATGTTGGAGAGGTCTGACATTTTATATAACAGTTACAATAAAACTAAAATAAAACCAAACACAACATAGGACATATTGTATAATAAACTTAAAACAAATTAATCTTGATCATATGATAAAATTGAAATAAGTATTTTGATTACTATTTTTTCTCCTTTTGAAAAAAGATTTATTTTTATTTATGTTTATGTGGGATTACCAATGTGTGCATGCCACTTGTGTGTGGGTGCCCTTGGAAGCCAGCAGGGGACATTGGGTCCCCTAGGGCAGGAGTTACAGGTCATTCTGAATTGTCCAACTGGGTGCTCTAGAAGAACAGGATGTGACTTTAATCACAGAGTCATTTCTCCATCGCCCAGGGTTTAGCTCTTCAAAGTGATTGTGCTTCTCTTAGTATTAAAGGAATACTTAAAATAATAATCCTAGTTATCTTCAGAGGAAGCATAATAAAATATGACAAAGAAGTGATAACTTACTACAGAAATCTCAGTTTTTAACAATGACTTAAATATTTTCCCTAAGAAATAAAAGGCGACTTTTGCTCTTGTTTATTATCTGATAAATAATTATGTCTCCAACAGCCTCTACTTCCTCTTCTGGGAATGATGCTCTTGGCATCAGAAACAAAACCCAAGCCCCAACGATAAAGGATTCTGTACCTGGTTTCACAGAAGTCACCCCTTCTCCGACGCTCTCCACAATACCGGCTCCCTCGTGGCCTAAAACTGCAGGAAGAGGTGTGACAAAGTTTCCACTAATCACATGATCGTCTGATCGGCAGACCCCGGTGGCCACCATCTACAAATTAGACATGCATTTCACTTAGCTAAGTTCGCCACTGTGGGGTTTAACACACTGTTCTGAACCTGTGCTTCCAATCATTCCCCATTGATTCCAAATTCAAATATTCCACATAGGTCCAACGTTTTCTCGTGTTTACATCTATCTTTTCGCAATAAACAGCTTAAGCGTCATTGACCCTGAGCTATGTATTTTATACAGTATACAAAAGTACATGCTTGTTATGGAAATAGAAATCGGAAAAGAGCACCTAGAAATTACCTAATACTAATTACATTTTGGAATCAAGATGCTTAGCACTTTAGAAACACAGAATATTTAAATTGTTTTCAGGGATTATGTTAAACATATTTTAGGCACTTCAAACTTTTAGCAGTTATCAATAGCTTGCCTTAGTAACAGCTTTATTCATTGTCAGGACAAGCCTCTTCAAAGGGGCTATTAATGGAGTTTTGGATGGGTCTCTGGAGTTATCTGAGTTTTTCAAACCTAACTTTCTAGATGGTGAAAGTGGGGGTTACCTTAATGCGAACTTCATGGGCCTTGGGAGGTGCAACTTCTATGTCCTCGATGGAGAAGGGCTTGTGAGTTTCCCATAGCACAGCTGCTTTGCACTTGATTACCTGGGAGATAAAGGTTACATCACCTCCAAGGAGATCACTGCCCCATGAGATGTCTCAGGGTCTGCCACCCATTGTTACATGCAAACACACATTTCTCATTTACAATTAAAAAAAAAACATTAAAAACTGGTGACACTGTAGCCCAAGGTCAGGAAAATTCAACTAAATGTAATGTACCTGGGAGAATTGGTGTAAGCTCCTTCAGGCTCTGCTTATACTTTTTTTTATACTTTCTTTTTTTTTTTTTTTTTTTTTTTGCTTGATTGTCTCTGGTATTCTGCAAGAGGTTGTTTGACCAAAATCATTGGGTGTATGTTTAATTCTAAATGATAATTATTAATATACTTTTGATGCTGGGGATAAAACCCAGAACTTTGTGCATTCAGGCATGAACTCTGTCACAGAGTTAGCACCCAGGCTTTGGATTTCTGGGACAATAGTCTAATAAGCAGCCCAGGCTGGCTTTGACTATGAACCTTTCTGTCTTGGCCTTCCTAGTGCTGGGATTTCAGAGATGTTCTACCATACCTGGCTATGAGATGTGGTTTGTTCTTTTGTGCATAATTTTCTCTTATTTGTTGATGAATAAAACACTGTGGCCAATACATGCAGGGAGATAGGCAGGACTAAGTGAAGAGGAGAATTCTGGGAAAGGTGGGCCAGAAAAAATGGGCATATAGCCACTGGAAGGAAAGGATGCATCAGGCATTCTTTGGCAAAATAAGACCAGTTGGAAATACTTAGATTAATAGAAATGGGTTAATAATTAATACAGAGCTAGCCACTGGCCAACAGTTTGATAGTTAATATAGTGTCTACCTGTTTATTTGGGGCAAGGCCGCTGCAGAACCAGGTGGGAAATCCCAAATAACTACATTATTATTTTATTCTTCTAGGAAATATAAATACAAACCTGTAATCACCACAGTGCTGTTATTGACCTTTTACCTGAGAACCTGGGATTCCCTGATCCCTCATTTCTTGCTTGGTTGAAATAATTGGGGTTTCCACTTAACTTTTTCAGTCATTTTTTTCTAACTACTTTTCTTTGAGATGTAATAAGCAATCTTATTCATAACCATGATATTAATCAGAATAAAAATACTGACAAGTGGCCCCTTCTGTGACTCTCAACCCATCCTTTCAATATGAATGGCATCACACTGTATATGCAGAAGCCTCTGCACAGAACACCCAGTTCTCACTGTGAGCTTTTGGAAGTTTACCCACTCTTAATGACATCTGTGCCAACAGAGTCATAGGTTTTATAATTAAGCAATTAGATAGAACTAATCAGTTCATTATTATCAATACCTCTTGTATGTCCGGGTGCCACACACAGATTGAACGAGGAACTGTGACTTTGTGGAAAATGTCACACCTATGCTAAGTGTGTATTCTTAGTGTTGACACATGATTCAGTTTTTTTTAGCATTGGATATTGAGCCAGGGTAGGAAGAGAAGACAGGAGAGAGAGAGAGAGACAGAGGGAGGGAGAGAGAGAAAGAGGGAACACAAACATAAAAGAGGGAGCCATTATTGGTTTGAAGAGAAAACTGAACCTAAAGAAAGGGCTAGGGAACTTTAAGACTGACCGACTCCAACTAACAATCTGAGCAACTGTGGAAAGGCTACCATAAGTGCCCTACCCGGATAGTGAGATCAACAACTAACTTATCCACCATTATGGAGCCCTCATCTAGTACCTGTTAGAAACAGAAGCAAACACCCATAACTAAACATTGAGTTGAACTAGAATCCAGATGCAGAGAGAGAGGACAAGACCAGGTTGCAGAAACACAAAGAGACTGCTGACCTGAACAAGGAGGAGCTAACGGGCCCACAAACTGAGAGCTGGTTAACCAGCATGTGACTGACTCAGACACCCCTGAACATGGGTCTCAGCTAGAAGGACTGAGCAGTCTAAGGGACCTCAGACAGTGGAACCAGGATGTATCCCTGGTGCACAAAAGGACTTTGCGAACACATCCCCCATGAAGGGATACTGCCTTAACCTAGAGACATGAGAGAAGCCCTAGTGCCTACTTCAAATGACTTGACAGATTTACATGACCACATGGATGGCATTGCCCTACATGTGGAATTGGGGTTGGGGGATGGGAGGGGAGGGTGGTCAGGTTGTATGTGAGGGGGGAGAGAAGGTAAGAGGGAGGAAGTGAGGGAGGGAGAGAGGGAAGGAGAGGGACCTGGGATCGACATGTAAAATAAAAAATAATAATAAAAAATAAATAAATTTTAAAAAACTGAATGATTTTTTTAAGAGGGAAGAGACTATTGTATAGAATTTCTAGCAATTTTGTGAAATCCCAATTTTACAGTAATGTAATCTTGCTGTGTACAATCTTAATGCTTTAAAATCAATCCACCTCTTGTTAGAAATTTATCTAAAGGTTACAGGGACAGTTCTACTAAGTTCCCGGAGTCAAATCCTGTTATAAAGCATTTCTGTTTTCATATAAAAATATGTGATTACAAAGACTAGCAGGCTATTGTTATCTTAATGTAAACACAGACTTTACATAAAAGATCTTTTTTAGACTTCTTATTTACAAAGTAGTCACAGTTGGCTGAGAATAAATTCCCCCTACTGCAAAGTTAAAGAGGAAGTGAAGACGTTCCCAGACCTGGATTCTATGTACTCTCATTAAAGATATAGTAGTAGTCTAGTTGCACTGTAGCCCAGTGCATATGTTCTACTGTAACATACGTTTCATATTGCATTTCAGTGCATGCTATTCCTGAGTTAGGAACCTACATCTTTTTGCATATTAAGGAGAATATATTTCTAACAGTAAGATGTTTTTCTTACTTTTCCAGCTGTGCTCATGCTGTCTGTCCTTGCTGCTATCTGTAGATTAATGGGTCCTTGTAGGCTTCTTCCCTCCTCAAGTGTACCGGGCCAAGTTGCACAAGAATTTTGTTAGCTGTGATGTCAGCTGATTGCACATGTGATCTGTTCGTTTATGACACTCCCATCTGTTTATTCTTGCTGCAAGTTAAGTAGAAACAAAGTGCACTGGCCTGACAAGGAAAACTTGCTCTGGGGTTGTGCTGTTGGGCACATTTTGTTTTCATTAGGTTTAACAATTCCTTTCTGTTCAATTTCCTTCTTTCTCAATCAACTCTTTCCCGTTATCAGTCAGATTAGAGCTCTGTTTTCCTTTGCCTAAAAGAGGCTGTAAATTAAAGTTCACATGTTGCTTAGTAAGGAGGACATGTAGTAGGGTAGATGAAATAGATGCAAATTCAGGGAGGAAGATTTGGGCTCCATTCCTCTTCAAAGAAAGCACCCCGAGGCACAGCAAAGATGCTGAGGCCCCTGGTATCTCTGGGGCCTGGTTAGCACTGATCAAGAGCCTGTGGCAGGCATGGAACTGGCCCTAGAGGTGGCAGTCATGAGTAAGAGATGGACTCCTGTCCTGCCAAGAGACAGCAGCTGCAACATGCCCTATTCCTTCTAGCTGAGAGAACTTGGACATATCTAATGCTCTTTGCCATAGTTTCCTTCTCGTAAGATAAGGATGAACCAGAGTGTCATCAGAGACTGCCATGACCAAGTGAAACAGTAAGCACATGTGCTTATCATGGATCCACATAGGTAGGACACAGCTCAATGAATTACAGCTACAACCATCATGCATGAAAATAAACTCGCAGTACACTGGAGGGGGAAGGTACACAGGAGTGTGTGCTCCTCAGCTAAGTAGTGAGTGCTAGGAAGAGCAGGGTTGTAGAGAGCATGGATTAGAGTCATCCAAAGAATGATTGCTTTGGCAAATGGGCCAAAAGTCACTTAAGCCATGTCCATTGTCCTTTGTTTAATGTCATGGGCTTGGAAACTAGAACATGCATTTGATGTGTTTTGAATATGAAGACTTCTACCAACGTTAGCTAGCCATAGTACATACCACTCCTTATATAAATACAAGTGGCCAGCACACACACACACACACACACACACACACACACACACACACATATATATATACTTCTGTAGTGTTGTCAAAGAAACAATAATATTGTCTGTGTCCAATGTTGATTATGGAAGTGTAGAGAGTCAACTAGAGGTCACATGATCTAACCTTTTCCAGAGAATGGCTATGACCTCCCAACCCATATTTGTTCACAACGGTCTGTAATGCATCCAGGTATCCCACTAGGTCTAAGGTCCAACACCTTTAAGAGTCCCACTGGGTTATTGCGTTTACACAGTAATGAAAGCAGATGGTTTAGCTATGAAGCACAGATTCTTAACAAACTAGTGAATATCTATTTTGCTCTCAAAATGTTCGTGGGAGTTGTTCCTACATTATTACCTGATTTTAAAGGCAACATTACAAGGAATTTTTTATCAACCAGTTTTACAGATGAGGTAATAGAAGTATTGAGATTCACTAATGCCCTTTCTAAGACTTCAAGTTCAGAACTGTGGGCAGGCTGGTGTTAAGGAGAGCTGTCTGGTGTGAGTGCAGTAGGCAGATCACAAGAACATCAAAGGACAGTGGACCCTGGATTTTGAACAATTGATCCTAGAAATAATGCATATTCCCTGCAACCTCCCTTCTTCCCTTTCCCTCCTTTCCTCCCTCCTCTGTCCCCTTACCTCTGAAGGAGCTTTGGTGGTAATTCTTCTGTTTTTTGACTAGACTCTATCACTCTGATGGGTCAGGAGTGCAATTTGGCTTTGAGGTATAGTTCTGACACTTTCAAAACAATAACACTTAGTTATTCAGTACCAAATAGTCTCAATCCTGAAAACATACCTACAACTAGCATTATATGGACTCACAGGTTATATTTAGAAATACAACTATGTATTTGTGCTGTGGAGTATTTATTTAACCATACAAGTAGATATTGCATTTGTTTAAGAATGTAAAATGTGTTGCACTTGTTTAGGTTGCACTTGTCCAACTATGTAAAGATGAGTTGCTGTTTTACCTTGTCTGTCTAAGGCACTTGATTGGTCTAATCAAAATAAAATTGAGCCCAGAATTTAATATATGTAAAAATAGGAATCTGTGATAACAAACAGAGGAAATAAAGAAATCAATAAAACCAAAGACAGTCTCATGGAAGATTCTTCTCATGGATATATCTCTCACTAGTCAGTCCTGTTTATTAAAACACACAAATAGCAACATCAGTCTGGAAACAGATGGAAAGAAGCCGTAAATGCACCAGAGATGATTAAACAACAGTGCCATTTATAAACAACTTTATACTGACAAACTTAGCGGATTAAACGAAGAAAGGAAATGTTGATGCTACAAGTTGGTATCTGGTCAAGGTGAACCAAAACAAAACAAAATCTGATGAACTTTGAGGTTAATTAAAACATTGAATGTTTATTTCAAAGCTTCGTAGAAAGTCAACTACTTGCCAGGGTAAATTTTGTCATACTTTTAGAAATTTCTCAAAGAGCAATAAATCTATTTTCTCAATTTCAATAACAGAATGATACTTCCCAATTTATTTGGTAATGTCAGTATTGATAGCTGAGATAACTCAGATACCTCAGAGGAAAACTGAAGATTTCATGAACAGAAACAAAATCTTTAATGAAATACTGATAACTCATACTTGACATTATATAAAATAATGTATTTATGACCAAGTAGACTCTCCATGGGGAATGCAAAGCTTATTTAGTGTTTAAGTGTTAATGTAACTCAACAGAGAATGCATGTAACAAATAACAAAGGACAGATGCATTTGATCATCCTCTTAGATGAAAGTAGAGTTGGCTAAATATCTAATTTCTGAGAGTGATTACAAATTTTAAACTTAGAAAGCCCTAACACTATCAACAAAGCTCATATTAATAATCCAGTGTCTGTGTTAGACACCAAAATAAGTAATTATACTCTCAGAAAGTTCATGTTTACTCAGGGAAGGCATTCAAATAAGTATAATAGAGTAGCAGGTGAAACAAAAAAAGCAATTGGACAGGAAAACTAAGGATGCCTTTCCAACAGATGACGTCATTGTGATTGCTGAGGGTACGAAGCTGCTTTTCTACCAGATGATGTATTTGTGATGTGCTGAGAGGTGGGGCTGAAATTCACATCTAGAAGAGTAAAGTGGGCCAATTACATTAGTAAACAGCCTTGTATTTTTTATAGTGTTCAAATTTCACACAGCATATTAACTAGAACTTCTCTTAGTTATTTATATGAAAATAATAAAAACATGTCTGGAGTACTTACATTGATTATTTCAAATGACATGCCCATCCTCTGGGACAGGTATGAAATTTTTTAAATAAATTGAGTGGGCTACTATCTAATAAAAAAGTAGTAAACACTTAATATGTCAAAAATATTGTTGCACAGTGGAGAGCTTATGATTATTTTTAGAATTTCTCATGTAATACTGTGAAAGTATTGTTGAACCTGTATAACTAAAGCTATGGAAGACAAGACCCAGGGTTAGGCAGTGGGGTGGGAACAATGAGGAGAGCTTCATGTAAAATTGTAGAATAGGCTTGACAAGCTGGATCAGTGGGTAAAAGAGCTTGCCACCAAGGTTGACAACCTGAGCTCAGTCCTTTTGGACCCACACATAGAGAGGAAAGACCAGACCCCTTTAAGTTTTTCTTTCTCTGTGTGTCTACTTCTCTCTCTCTCTCTCTCTCTCTCTCTCTCTCTCTCTCTCTCTCTCTCTCTCTCACTCACTCTCTGTCTCTCTCTCACACACTCACACACACACATAAATATATGATTCAATTAGTCAATAAAATTATAGGTTACATAAAGCAGCCTGAGAGAAGAAGGCAGATCTAGATTGTGTTAGAAGCCTACGTAGGCAGATGAACCACAAGGGGCTACAAGGGAACTTCTAGGAGGGAGTGGTGGGAACACTGTGTCTTCTTTATGGACTGAGAATAGTATTGTGGTCGAGGTTCATTGAGGTGTACAATTAAAATGAGTGTGTTTATGTGGATAGTTAATGTGAGAAGTAAATTAAAAATTAAAGTTATCATAAAGATGCAAAGCTGAGAGGCCCCAGGCTTGAAATTCACTCATTATCTGGAGTTATATTCCTTTAAATGTCCAAGCTATGGGAGAGACAGTGATATGATAAGATGAAGAGCCCCGGGCTCCATCTTTTTCTATTATTTACACTTATTTGAACATTTAATGGGAAATACTTTTGAACTTTTTATGGGCAATGCAACACTTTAATGTTACTCTCTTGGTGTTTGCTTTCTTGAAGCTTGAGTCTACTCAAAAGAAATGCCAAGTCCTGAGGTTTGTTGGACTGTTCCTTCATTAACCATTCATTCTTTATTCCACACTTTCCTCTCCTTCTACTCCAATCCCAGACAAGGCATCCCAGGATATTTACTTTAACACCACAGTGAACAACACACTCAGTCTGAGACTATAAAGATCTAGTTTGATGCTAGGGATACAGTGAAGGTAGCTAGAGTCCCTGCTGTGGGACAGTGCAGACCAGGTGTGGGGTGAATCAGAACCAAGCCTTACATAAGCATAACTTTTCATGTTCTCTGTTTTGCTTCCACTGAAAGAGCAATTTCTCAATACTTGTTATCAGAGTGAATACCTTAAGAATTGCTTGCTAGGGTGTACTCTTACCCAGCTGTGGATCAGGATTCTAATATTTCCATTTATCTTGTGTTACATGGTATTAACCCAATTCTGCTAATGGATGATAATTTCCAGTAAGCTAAAAACAACAAGAAACCCTAATAATAAAAGAAATTAATATGTATACCCTAATTACAATTTGACAGAAAGCTGCAAGTCAGTATTATGATATATTTCATGTGTTCCTTTTAATTAATAAATTTTACCTAATTATAAACAATCTTATTTTACATACCAATTCCAGTTTCCCCTCCATCCCATCCTTCCATTCCC